GGACGAGGATCAAAACACTTGTTGAAGTAGTGTTATTAGGGTTTTCTAAATTGGGGTCTCATCACGTGTTAAATAATCTGTAATTTCTCTGTAATTTACTTCATAAAATTAATAGTTTTGAAGTGACAATAGGTTGTGACAGAACAGACTACATCTAATCTCAGCCTATTCACATTTCTTAAAATGTTTTGCGTTTTATAAGATATTAACACAATAAATACTTTCATAATTTCGAAGTCTCAATGAAAGAGGTCACCAGGAAGACCAAGGCGTAAATGGGAGAACACACAAGATAAAATACTTCATTTCCGAATTCCATGTAACATATCTATTGTTACAATGCCTATTTAAACAACAGAAATTAATTTTCTATTAAGAAAATTTTTTCTGCTGTTGATTAGTATTGCCAAATTAGATTTTATCTTAAAGAAACGCAGTTAAGAATACATGAGGTAGACTAATGCAAATCATTCAACCTGAGAATGTGTGAACTTCACATGTGAGTGGTCTTACAGTCTTTGTCTCATGTAACCGTCTTTATATTAATTTATTTGGGGGAAGATCAATAATTCATCTTTTTTGATCATTATGACAAATTTAATAAAAATGACGCAATTAAAATAAAAAGTTCCATTTGGAAATGAATGAGGGAATGTAAGATCTGGAAAAATGAAGAAATGCTCTAAGGTAAAGACATTAAAAAAAATCATTTATATCGTTCTACAACAAAGGTAAAACAATTTATTTGCAAGTGAAACAAAACGCATCTAAAACATTAACAATGTAAACAGTAAAACTATTTATCAAAGCCTTTGAACAATTGCTTCTATACTAGCATAAGTACCCGTAAGAAATCCAATTATGCCAATGCAGATGATGAAACTGTCCTTCCACAGCAGCCATTTGAGATGACCCAAACCAGATTCCCAATGTATTGCAAGGTCCATTATGGCAGGAAAGAAAAGCGCCAGGGCAGTGCTACTAACAGCACCCACCAGAGAGATAAACAAACTGAGGTGTGGAATCGCTTCTGCTAGAATAACTGTAAACACAGATATTAACAAGTTGAGGTCTGGAATTCATTCTGCTTGAAAAACTGCAGAAACAAACATGAACAGACTGAAGTATGGAATTATATCTGTTGAAATAATTGGTTTGCCATTTTGCAAAGAGAAAGTCCATAAATTAAGTTCTTTTTTCATTCATTCATTCATTCATTCATTCATTCTTTCATTTATTCACATTCCATAAAATCCTTACAAGGTTGAGATAACCAATAGAGATAGAAATGGTCCAGAAATATAAACTCATCTTGCTTAGAAATCAAGCAGTTGACAAAATAACAAGTTTATAGTATACAACATTTAAGTCACATCTAAAAATTTATCTTGAAAATAATAAGTAAGACAATGACAATTTTAAGATAAAAAATTCAGTCCAAATATAATAATAATCATGCTTATACAATATGACAGTTATTTAAAAACCAGTTTATAATATAAGGCAAGTTTGAAAGTTGAATATAATTAGTTGTATTACAGTAACCAATTTACAATATAAGATGAAGGTAATAAAGAATACAAATAATAATATTTACAACTTTAAAACAGTATAATCAAATAAGATCTGTTATAACAGATAATTAAAGTTATTTACAAAAAACAGGATGTGTCCAGTCCAATGGCTAATCAAGCCTGACAAGTTTCAGATCAAAATGAAATGAACCAACCAGAGGTAGGTCCTATTATGTGTAAAAGTAACATTAATCAAAACTGGATACATATGCAACACATAAGGACAGATATGTGACATACTTACATGTTATGAGAACCAGAGAGCTACGGAAGATTATATCTGTGAGGGAGCTGTACTTAAAGGGGCCCCATCTCTTCAGAACGTGGGGCCAGAGGATCTCTATGGGAACATACATCTGCAGAGCATAGGAGAACAGGATTCCAAGGCAGATGGTGAGCTGTACTGCCTGGGCCAGGCTGGAAGCAAAATGGTCTCTAACAGATCCTTCAAAACTTTCTCTACCCACCCTTTCCAGTTCCTTGTTCACTTATCATCTTAACCTGTGACCCCAAAGATTATGACTCACTGACAGCGTCATTAAACGAGTCAAAAATATTAAAATATGAACCTAAATTTTCCTCTGCGATTAATTAAGCACCACAACATAAAGACATATGGGGGAGTGGAGGTGTAGCTCCAAGCATTTATCTTCTTCAGATAAGGTGAGCAGTCAGCTTTTTGGCACCAGCCCCTTTACCCTCACAGAAAGTGCCCCTGGTACTGACTGGAGAGGAGGCTGGATGGGCCCCAGAATTGATCTGGACAGTGTGAGGAAGATAGAATTTCTTGTCCCTGCTGGGAAGTGAAACCCAATTCCTCAGTTATACAGACTGTAGCCTAACCACTACAGTGACTGAGCTGCAACAAAAAATAAACATACAAACTCACATGTCTTGTTGAGGCAGGTTGAGTGTGAGGCTTCCTTGTACATTGTCACCATACTTGAGGTAGCCAAGGAACCCCATGATAACAAGCAGACACGTCACGATGGTCATGCCGATGTTGAGAACGCCAAACCTTCTTGTGAACTGCTCAGGTTGCTTCATTTCATTCTGCAGGGGAAGCACCTGTGTTCAAATCCAGACACAATCACAAAAATTAGAATTATGTTCATAAAAATGGTTCTTCTATCATAAATACTCTAGGGTGATCAGTCAAAATAGTCTTAATGGTTTGAACTTAAGTCTATAAGCAAATTTTGTGGCTGTCCTTGGAAAATGGCAATGGTATGTTGTTATGTATTCGTATATATTGATGATTCAGAGGAATGTGATGCCTTCATATTTAGGGTAAGAAGAATAAGAACCTCAAGCTTTATATATTTTATATAGTTATACCAATGCAAACACAAAACCATTGAAAAGTCAATGAGAGAATGTTAAAAAACGAACTTTGTCAAGGATTCCTAACCTCATTAACTTATAAAGTTGTGGAAACTTAGCTGTAAAACAATAGGTAAAACCAAATATTTTTGTATAGCTGATGGGAACTGATGTGAAATGTAAATATTCTCCTCAGTATCTGTGTTCTTCCTTTAATGTAAGGCACCAATTTTCACATCCATATATGAGTGCACGTAACATCATAGTTTTGAGTGCAAGTATTTCAATCTTTACAATTTTAAACAGCAGGCAGGAAACCAGAAATGTCAGAACTGACTGGTAACAAGTATTTCCTGCATTTAATCTGATCCTCCATGTCTGTCGGGGAACTGGAGTAACTCGTTTGGTATTGAGATGAGTTACAGGCTGGATGGCTAAAATACCGGGCTTCAATTTGCTGCAGGGGCAAGAGATTCTTCTCTTTCCCACAGTGTGAAGAAGCTGGAACATAGAGCTGACTGCTCTCTTCCATCTAGTGCTCAGATTAAAGGTATGTGGATGTACATCGCCAGTCCCCGATACATCTTCATGGCAAGGTGCTTAAGTAATTAATACCAGGGCCAAATTTACTTGTTTTACATCCATATGCATTATTACAAATGATAAAGCAATTCCATCCAGTGTGACTGTTGAAGCTTTTACTACTTCACCTCTTAGCACCCTGACATGTTTTGGTCCTTATAGACCATCATTGGAGGGAACATCAATACCTTTTGAAACTACTATTACATTGGGTGTTTTGATTTTTAAAATACATAAATATACAATATTTGTAATATACACTTTATACAAAATCCAAATTTCTTACAACTACAGCAACTGTCCTTGATGCATTAAAGTTTTTTTTTTAAACTTTTTGTTATTTAAGTTAAAATTCTTTAACCGAATGGGTTCATGTCCCTTGTCCTTTCGTTTTTCTGCCTGGATTGTGATTGAGGCTAGCTCTTTCTAAGGGACCCAACAGAGTAGGTATCTTCCCCCTCACATGAGGACGTAAACAGATCCAGTTTCTGAAACGTCGTGTTTTTTCTTAGTTATTTAGAATCCGGACGATGGACAAAGTCCGAAAACCCAGTATCTCTGTATGTTATACACCATCATCAGAACCCTATAGTATCTACAAACCTAACATACCAATCCAATGCCTTCAAAAGAGTAGATTGCAGTTCCAAAGAACAGAGGAATCTTTGTCCAAGGAGCAATGTACTCTCTGGTGGAGGGAGCTGGGAGTTCCTGGCTGATGTAGTAGAGGGTCACAGCAATACCAACTGTCATGGCGACATTGGCAAACAGAGATAGAGGTACGAGATACTTGAGATCACGAATCCAACAGGACAGCATAATGGGTAAGAGAATGATCGTCATATGTATGTGGATGTCCAACTCTGCATTGTAGTAGTCCATCACCTGCAAGACAGTAATTACTACTGAGTAAAATGGTGAATTTTAACATTCATAATCTCTGTGTTTTATCCATATTATTTATTTATGTATATCATATGATTTGCACAATAAACAGTGACTATGTAAGGGAGTTGGAGTAGGAACTGAATTTGTAAGTATTATTTAATAGATATCTGTATTTCAGTGAATTAGAAATGTAATTCCAATGTTCTGTTATCTAAAATAAAGACTAATTATCAGTAATTTTCTTGACGCAGAATGATAAAATGAGTGTCTTGCCATGAAATATGATAAATTACAGAACTGAATGGGTTTATCTGTATATCTAAAGAGAATCAGAAAGAACTTATATTCATACATACTGATTGTGTCATTAGGTTTTTATTCCATGCTTCAATAATGAATCAACAAGAATTATGGGAATTATCTCTAATTTCATACATGCACAGCTTCAACTTTTAAATGTGAAACTTTGATGAAGTAATGAATTCTAAGACATCTTCATCATAAAGTGAACTTCCTGTAGATGATTACCATTTTCAAATTATCAGAAATGAAGACGAAATACACAGAGCAGAATCCCATTTGAGTCACACAGAGGAAGACATTGATCCACAATCTGTAAGAGGAAGAACAGTGATTGGAGAGGCAACAGTGACTTATCTTACACTATTTGTTTGTTTATTTAAAGAGGCTCTAAGTAAGTAAGACTTTGTAGGACTGAATGATCATGAATACTGAATTGAAAAGGCTGTGAAAGAATCTGTTATGGCCATATCTAATATACTGTCCTGGCATTCTCCTAGAGTGACAGAGGAAAATCACAAAACCACCCTCAGTTACAATAATCAGTTCCCTGCTTGAGATTCGAACTATACAAGCATAATTATACAAGCATTACTGCTCGAGTTAACATGCTCACTAGTCCAATATAAAGAAAAGGTAAGGGAAGGTACAGCACTGGCCACAACAATTTTCTATTCAGCCTACTGTACACAGTGAAACTATCATTAATTAATTTCATGACAAGGAACACTAAGGAACTGGGTATGTGAACTAAATAGTTTTGAGGGTTCCCCTGGATAGCTCAGTTGCTACTGTCACTAGCCTACAGGTTGGTTGACCAAGGAATCTGGGTTCAATTCTAAGCAGAGACAAATATTTTCTCTTCTCCTTGTTCTTGCCAACTTTAGCAGGCAGACTGTGTCACGTGGTCAGCGCAATGGATTCCCACGGTCATTAAATCTCGGTTTTCTAGACTGGAGCCGCTATTTCCTTGAAATAGTTCCTCAATTATCTTCAGGGGGCTGAGTGGACCCCGTTCCAGACGCACTATTTCTCAGAAAATCTCGAAACCGGGATGTCTGGATCTGTAGCCAGGAACACTGACCACTATACCACACAGGCAGCTTTGTCCCTAAGGATAGAGCCCTCAGAACCCATTGGATAGGGGGCTGGGTGGGCTCTAGAGCCGGTCTGGACAGTGTGAACAAGAAAAGAATCTGCTGTCTCTAGCTGGAACTGAACCCAATTCCTTGGCCTTCTAGCCTTTAGCCAAGTCTCTATATCGACTGGACTACCCCAGCTATCATTTTACATCTGTAATAATTTTCTTGTGTTATAAGAAATCTTACTTTATTGTGTAAGGTTCAACGTGATTTTCATGTAAAGCAGAGCGAAATATACAGTTACTGTACAAGACTCTTAGCTATATTCAGGTTTTCAGAGCAGAGAGAAGTAAATACACGTACTGTCTTATGGGATGTGACATACTACCTCTGTCTTCAGGGTCGAAGAATAAAATATGAAAGAAATAGGCAAGAAGCAAGCAGTTACTCACTGGGCTCCACTTCAGGGCCATATCTGGACCAAGTTCTCGACCCTGAAGAAAGGCATTACATTCTTCAATCAGACTGTAAGGCTGCACATCCCAAATGACAGCATTCTTCATAGTTACCTCATTTCGACCCCAGGAAAACTGTGAATGCAATTACTAACACACCAAGTACCCACCTTACAGTTTTCGCAAATCCGTGTAATTTGGGGGGCCCTGTTTTGAAGGAGAGTTCCATTGTCTCCGCAAACGTTGGCAGAACCGGGCTTCTTGTTCTCCTCTGCAGTTCCCTGGCGCCAGAGAGCTGAAACAATTGAATTAAGCCATGAAGCTGGCCTCTCGCTTAGGGCAAGTTCACAAATTAAAGATCACTGAAAACAGAGTAATAGGTAGTGTCACCCCTGCCCATAATTAATTAAGCATCACGAAATGAAGATGTATGGGAGAGTGGAGGTACAGACCATTCTTAACCACAACACTAGATGGAGATTTGTGGTTAGTTTCAGGTCCTGGCCACAGTATCCGAAGTCCCAGGTGCCTGTTGAGTAGGCTGGGTGGACCCCAACCAGTCTGAACATTATCGAGAGGACAAAAATCTCTTGCCCCTAATGGAAGGCGAACCCCAACCCCTATGTGGGCCAGTCCATAACCTAGTCGCCATACCAACTGAGCTATCTATGCTGTCTCGACAACAGGGTGCTTAAGGGAATATTTGGATCGAAGAGGGAAAAGTTCCAGGAGACTAAAAGAAATTACATATTGAGGAGGTTCATAATCTGTACTATTCACAAAATATGATGAAAAAATCAAGAGAGAGATGGGCGAGACATGTAGCACGCACAAACTTTCGTCCAGAATACCCGAGGAGAATAAATCACTAGAAAGACCGAAGCATACATACGTCTAGGATGATATTGAGATGGATGGGAGGTTGTGGACTGGATTCATCTGGCTCAGTACAGGGACCAGTGGCGGGCCCTTTTGCACACGGCAATGAAACCTCGGGACAAATGCAATCAGAGTAATTTATTGACCAGCTGACAGAGTATTGGTTTCTCAAAAAGGAGTCTGGACCATGGGGTTGGTTGGTTAGTTAGTTAGTTACTTAATTATTGCTCCGGTGAACATGCTTAATCTCTTAGTACGTTTGTTTGTAAATTATGCAACGCCACACTCAACGGACTTCTAACTTCCGGGACGTAACGCCGTGTAACCCACTGAAAGTCAACAGACATTTCCTAGAAACAGGTCACCTCCATCTTCACCTTTGGAGAATAAGACAAGCAAGGAACCAGCCAGGCTCTGCAGAACATGACCACGTCTATGAGTATCCGTGCTTCAGACTGGATCAACTGGATGATGTTAGTACAGAGGTACAGAGTTACCGCTACTCCAAACCTGTTAAGTTTATTTACTGCGAACTCTGTTGCTACTAGATGGGGCTGAGGTAGTGTGCGTCTTCTGAGTGCTCTGTGTGGCAATAACGGATAGGCTCGCCGTGTTCTCCCAAGTTCCCTCGCGTCATAATAACCCATGGTCACTCAGCGACCTCTCCCTCAAACAGACCGACACGGCCTTGCGTCTCCTCTCGCTGGTTCAGGAAATTAACATGCAAATACTTGTAAAACTGGAAACGCGAAGCTTTCCTTGTGCTTAACTAAACCCCACACCATTAAGGTGTAGTGTGGAGCGGAGGTATAGTACTGAGAATTCTTAACCTCGGCATTGGATGCCGATGAACATTTAGTATCACGCCCCGGCTAATTTACCTCGAGTACTAATTGAATAGGGAGCCGGGTTAATTCATTCCATATATGAACGAGCTACGGGCTGCACGGCCCGGGTTCGATTCCCTGCAGGGGAAACATTCTCTTTTCTTCACAGCGTCCAGACCAGCTCTGGGGCCCACTCAGCCATCTACGCAATTAGTGGCGGGGCGATTTAACATAAAAATTTCGTCGTATGTAGCCCTCCCAACGTTACTATAAAAATACTTACGAAAAGTACTATTTTCTGGGATATAACGCCATGTAGTCAACCGACGTTTCGGAGGAACATATCGCCTCCATCTTCAGGTTCGAATAAGACGAGCAAGTTAGAGGCGTGGAAGCTAATTGAGATCATAAGAAATAAAGCCCCTGATCATCTTCTTTCCTTTGCTCATAGCAGAGTCCACTTCAGAAACCTTTACGTCATTCATTTCCCAACGCTTTACTCTATCTCAAACGTACTTCTACCAGGAGGAAGAACGGGCACTGGCTGTGAACCTTAAAAGTTGGAAGAATTCCCCAAATCCAATATCTCTCGTTCATGATTTGGGGCTTGTATCACATGTCAATGAGGACCCAATTACCAAGAAACGCAGTCTCAGCCCACGATACGTATACAAGTACAGAGGTACTTACCAACATGTGCTGGCTGTACACACAGATGACCCCCAGAAGCAACGTGATGAGCGGCGAGGCGATCAGCCCGGCGTTACGGAACGCGTCCCCCATGGCAAACATCCCCGAACCGACGTTCCCTTTCAACAGGTGTATAAGCGTCTCTAGAAACCTTCGTGTCGGGCCACGAAGCAAGGACAGTCATTATTATCTGACTGAAACGTGAGTACGGAAACTTGAACCAGAACAAGACACATGTTCATAATTCACAATCAGACGAACTCCTGACGCTGGACACAAGTGGGGCACCAGGAGGCGACACCTCAGAACCTTTAAACGTGAAGTACCGACTGCATCGGCACAGGGAACTTACATTAAAACCTCCAGAGCCGAAGAGATCTCTTCGTTTTTAATCAATTAGTGTAGTATTTCTGTCAGCAGATGGCATAAAGTGTGATATACCATTGTTTAGAATAATCTACACCGTGATTTTAGACCGCAATCGAACTATACCGACCGAGAGACCGCCGCTTGTAGGCGAAGTTTAGTGCCAACTTTTGAGGACAGAAGGTGTCGCGTGGTCAGCGCAACGAATCCCCACGACCATTAATCTCGGGTTTCCAGACCGCAGCTCCTATTTTCTTCAAACAGTTCCTCAGTTATCCTCACGAGGCTGAGTGGACCCCGTTCCAGACCCAATACTTATCAGAAATCGAACCAGGGACCTCTGAGTCTGTAGCCAGGAATTATGACCACTAGACCACAGGGAACCATTCGAGCCTGATGTAAGTATGTGTGGGGTGCCGGGTTCTACAGACATGTCGGTGTGAGTTCGGGGTTATCACAAGGCTGATTGTACTCCATCTGCTTTGGGAACGAGAGTGCGTCAAAGTAAGTCAGTGACGTAGGACGTGACATCATCAATAGAAACACGACAGATTCTGTTTTCTAGATATTTCCGCTACTCATACTATGGCGGGACATTCAGACATACTCAGACAGAAATTTTATTGCGTAAGGTTGGCTACTGAAGTTACGGTGTACCCTGGTTCGTAGAAAAGATGTTGATTTTATGAGGATTACTGTCTTCTGACCGCCTCTATGGTCTAGTGGTCAGAGTTCCTGGCTACATATCCAGAGATCCGTGTTCGATTCCCGGCGCGACCAGATTTTCTGAGGAGTAGTGGGTCTGGAACGGGGTCCACTCAGCCTCGTAAGGATAACTGAGAAGCTATTTCTAGGAAATAGCGGCTGCGGTCTATAAAACTGAAATTAACGGCCGTGGGGATCCGTTGCGCTGACCACGCGACACCCTCTATCAGCTAAAATTTGCACTAACTTCGCCGACAAGCGGCGGTCGCTCGGTCGGTATATTCGTTTGCGGACTACAGGCCACGGATTTTTTTTACTGTCTTCTGGGATGTGCCGTGTACTCTGGAAGGGCATTTAACATTCCGAACTAATCTCCTGCTTCCATATTGGGCGTCGATTTAATTGTTCCGTTTATCTTACTTCAGTTTATCTCACAGAACCTCTCTCCACAGCTGCGCCCCTTTCACTGCCTCACGTTCTGAGCCCCAATCAATTTGCACCTCTCCCAATGTATCGTCCATACATTCAACCGTTATTTTCATTGGTGGGCAATGTTACAACACCTTCGGTACCTTGACTATGCCTGCGTCAATGTAATTTAGTGACGTAAACGTTACGCCATCAGTAGAAACTCACTAGGTTATATTTTCAATGTACTTCCGGTATTCATGAGCCGTTGGGAAATTCAAACATATTTGCGCGGGACATTTCTTCTGAAAGGTTGGCTACACATGGTGTGACGTAACATTGTTCGTAGCGTAGTTAGACTTTTATAATGACTGATACGTGGGAGAAGATTCGGAAGGAAGTGGCCGTGGCTTATGCTAAGAAATATCCAGGGATTTACCTCCCTTCCTTCTATCATTGATATTTTTAACGAGCGGCTTAATTTTCTGCCCTGAAACCTTGATAAAGACCTATCAGACTACACGGCGTCACGTCCCAAAAGACAGCGAGTGTCATGCAGAGTTTGAAGGCAATGTCTGAGGCCGTAGAACTTACGATGTGGGATGATGTACTTCACCGTGGCCCTCAATGAGAGGACAAGCGGCAGGAGGTGCCTTGCCATCTTCCACTGATATGTCCTTGGGTTTCGGTGACGTCACTTTGCTGCAACAATTTAACACAAGACAAGAAAATTAAACGAAAAGCAGGAGGCGAATCCTAAGTATGCTTTGAAAATATCAGATCTTAACTAACTTCATGGAGCTGAGCTTTTCTTGAGAAGCCGTCAATTCTACAGCTACTCAAGAATTTCCCAGCATTTTATGGAACCGGAAGATTCATTACAGTGTACACAAGAGCCCTCCACTGGTTCATATCCTGAGCCAGATCAATCCAATCTATCCCATCTCTCTCTAAGGTCAATTTTAATATTTTCCACCCACCTATGTCTTGGTCTTCCCAGTGGCCTCTTTCTTTCTGGCTTTACCTACCAATAACCTATATGGATTCCTCTTCTCCTCCATTCGTGCTACATGCCCTGCCCACCTCATCCTCCTTGACTTGATCATTCTAATTATACAAGAGTACAAGTTATGAAGCTCCTCATTATGCAGTTTTCTCCAACCTCCTGTCACTTCATCTCTCTTCGGTCCAAATATTCTCAACACCCTGTTCTCAAACACCCTCAGTCTATGTTCCTCCCTTAATGTCAGAGACCCAGTTGCACACCCACTCAGAGCCACAGGAAGAAATAGTTTTGTCTATTCAAAATTTTATGTTCTTAGACAGCAGTAATTGAAATTTTAGTTGAGCTAGAAAGGAGAATATCAAAGCATAACTCATACAGCTTCCTCTCCTACTGGAGACATTTCTAGTTCTCCAGAACCTTCGCCATTATGACTGTTAAATATTTCATTTCCCCTAAGAGCTTCCCACTTAATAACAAACTCTATATATTCAGACTACGAAAATAGAATGTTCGTAACTGTTGACTCGTAAAAAAAACCTAAAACTATCCCTGTAACAGGCCGTGAAGGCCCATAGGGTTGTGAGACGTCGAGGTTCCCATATTTTCTAGAGAATCGGCTCATACATGGCGGTGAGGTTATCAGTCTTAAGCGCCAGCCTGCCGCCCTTTACCCCCAGGAAGATTCCTGGTACTCATTTCTGTTAGAGGCTGAGTCGACCACAGGGCTATAGTGCGGCTGGAAGGATTAGGTTAATTTAAAAATTTAATGACCTCATCGGGAATCGAATCCGCGGCCTTAACCTATAAATATTGTCTAGATACTTCTGTGATTATGTCCATGCGTAATTTCATTTGCCTGGCTCCGATAGTTTATTGGGTATCGCCAACGAACGAGAAGCGAAGGGAATTTTTGCACGTCGTCCATTTTGTTTTTTATGTTCTATGAAAAAGATAACACTACATCGCCAAATGTTGTTTCTTTCTCTAAGTTCTATAGTGACACGCAACCTCACAATTTCGCGCGTCCACCATATTGTTATTATGAGAAAATTAAAAGTTACGACGCTGGGGTGACTTCTCTCTCGTTTCTTAGCCTAGGACAGGCAAGTAGGCTAAATATACAGTACCTGAGTATTTCCAAGGCCGTGATCTGGGGTTATGAACCGTTTAGTTCGGTAAGAAATGACAATATTAGCTAAAAAGAATTGCTTCCGTTATGTGTCAACATATCCAGGGAAATGATGATCTTATATCAAGAAGCAAATATTATACTCTCACCTTTGCCAAAGTCAAAGTCAAATTCAGAGTTGCTTAATATTGGCGCTTTACCGCCAATTATTTCGTCTTGGCGTCAAGGTGCTTGAGGTCACGACTAGAGATTTTTTTCTTCAACTAAACTCTTGCGGTAATAGTCCTTATGTAACATCCTCTGACGAGTAGATGGGTTTGTCTCTTCTGAATACGCTTGGCCTTTGTCAAGTGTATAGTTCTCATACATAACTTGTTACTGAAAATTCTTCCTTGTGCAGTCAGAGGCTTTGCAAAGCAGATAATGGCTATCTTACGTATCTTATACTACAACGGCAGCTTAGTCACTTGAACGGCCGTAAGCTTGACCACCGCCAAGTTTAAGCCCTTTTTACTTTCTATCTCTGGTTCGCCTTATCCTACGCTGCGATCATATTCATTCTCATGATTCTGTATGACCTCGGCTTGTTAACTGTAAAGTGTTGTTATTATAATGATGTAAATACGGAAGGTCGAAAGCCGTGTGCAAATCACGGACCGGTTTGCATCTCGGAAGATTTCCAGTAGTGCGCAGAAACTTGTTTTGCAGGCGCTGCCGCTAATTCCCAGGCGGGAACTGCTTCAGTTATTAGTGACCTGATCAGTGCCTTATGGAGGGTTAGTTTCATGTTAGCGCTTGAAAGCTCACTTCTGCGTAGGGAGTAGATTCTAATGAATGTTCTGAAGGCCTTGGCTTCAGTCAGTTCTGTGTGCGGTCCTCATGTATCCTCTTATCGAAGATTACACCGAGATATTTTACATGATAGCATGATACATGGAGGTGAGTGGTGAGCTTCACGTCCTGGCCGCTTTACCTACGGTACCCACTAGATGGGAGGAGACGGGATTGCGTAGTCGGTATAGCGACTAGCTACGGGCTGGACAACTGAGGGGTTGGAGTTCGAGTCCCGGTAGGGTAAAACATTTTCTCTTCTTCACGTCGTCCAGACCTGCCCTGGGGTCCACCCAACCTCCTATCCAATGGGTACCGTGGGTTCTATCCCTGGAGGTAAAGCGGCCGGGGCATGAATCTGACCACTCACCTCTAGTTAGTGCTGAGGTCAAGAAAACCTGGATCTATACAACCACTCCCCCACACGCCTTCATGGCGTAGTGCTTAATTAGTTAAACACAAGGACGACTTTCTCTTACCTTTTACTTTACCCATTGGATAGGGGGAGGCTGGGTGGGCCCCACAGCCTGTTTGGACGCTAGGAGAATGGTTTTAACACCTCCTAGGATCGAACCCTGGTCATCCATCCCACAGCCCGTCACTATACTGACTGAGCTATCCCGGCTCTATAATATTCAAGCAGGAGAATAACAGAAGAGAATAGCTACAAACAAAGACGAGAGGACTACAGAAACTAATGGATGTTGTATTCGCAGCCGGGCGTGAAAGTCACGTGGTCAGCTGAAGTCATGGTCATTTCCGTTTGGGTTGATGCGGTGCGTTTCTTATGTGTTTGTGTTGTTCTGTGTGTACGTAGCGGCCTTGGAACGGGTTGATACATCGCCCAAGGGGTCCTACCGATTGTATGAAAGCGCGTCCAGATGTCCGCAAGGGTTGTAGATAGTTTTGTTTCGTAAGGCGACATTGACTCAAGCATGAACGCCATGTAGTCCGTTGGAAGTCAACCAACGTTTCGGACGGACTAGTCGCTTCCATATTCAGGGCCGAACAATAAGCCAAGCAAAAAACCAACATGAAGCAGGTCTTCCATAACATGGCTAATTCCTTCCTTTGCTTATTCTCCGATCCTGAAGATGAAGACGATATGTTCCTTCGAAACGTCAGCTGACTTTCAAACAGACTACACGACTCTGTAACCCTGAAGATAAAACTCTTCATAACCATTGCTGTGAGAACATCAGATGAAATTCTTCTGAGTTGTACGTGGGGGCTGTCCGGTTGGAATTTGACCGAGACACTTATGATAACTGAGAGATTCTTCGTGAATTTCCTCAGTTACTTCACGCAAAGGCCACGACAATATCTCTAATTAGGCTAAGGCGGTTTCCTTCCTCAACATTTCGAATTCATCATTCTGCACACGTTGCAACATTCGGCGCAACACAGACCCAGATGGAGACAGCATCGCGAACTACGCGACAAACAGACAGATGCTAAACGGTTCTGACGATGGTGTGTAACACTCAGAATTACTGGGTTTGGGGGCTTTGTCCATAGTCCTGTATTCTAGAAACTAGAAAACACAAAGTTTCGGAAACCGGATCTGTTTCCTTCATAAATTTCTGCCCCCCTCCCCCCCAATTTCTACCATATTTCCACGAATCACAATTTTTATTGCATATTTTCCTGTTATCTTCCTCCGAATTGGCCTGGTCTCAGGCAGTTAAATAGCTGCAGTGAATTTGACAGGGGTTGTCCAGTGATTGAGGTTGGCTCTTTCTAAGGGACGAAACGGAGCAGGTGCCCCCCTTCACCCCATGGCATAAACAAATCCACTTTCCGAAACGTGCTTTCTAGTTCTCAGAGTACCGGGCGATGGATAAAGTTTGAAAACCCAGTAATTCTGAAATGTATTATTATTTCGTTGGGAGCCGGGGAAGCGCAGTCGGTGGATGGACGACCGAGGGATCGGAGTTCGAGTCCCTGTAGGGTCAAGAATTTCTCTTCCTAACATCGTCCAGACTGGCTCTGGGGGTCCACCCAACTTCCTATCCAATGGGTACCGCTGGTTCTTTCCCGGGGTAAAGCGACAGGGGCGTGAAGCTGACCACTCACCTCCAACTAGTGCCGAGGTCAAGAAAATGTGGATCTATACATCCACTTCCCCATACGCCTTCATGGTGTAGTGCTTAATTAGCTGGGCACAGGGACAACTTTACCGTTTACATTTTATTATTATTTCATTGAGATAGCTCAGTCACAAAATCGATTAGGCAAAGACTAGTCTACCGATAAATCGGGGTTCGATTCCCAGGAGAGGAGAACTGCGCTGTGGGGCCCACCCACTTTCTTATCCAGTGGGTATCGAGGGCTGTTTCCCTGGGGGTAAAGCGGCAGTGCCGAGGTTTTGAATGGTGGACCTATACCTCCACTCCCCCATATGCCTTCATGGCGTGGTGTTTAAGTAAGTAAATATAGGGAAAACTTTAAATTTGACTATTGTTTCTCTTCCCCCCTCCTTTTATTCTCCGGCTTTCAAGGGCTTAAACCGGAAGGAGAAGCGGTTCCACCAGGAACCCTGGCACGTCGATCTCTCGAATTTGTGCCAATGTTTCGGGTCAGAAGGGTTCATGACACATTTAAGTCCAAACACATCAGCCCCACATTCCAGCACTACCTGATTCCGTCGTGGTTATACCTCAGCGACGTTGCGGTAGCACCGCCTTTCGTCCCCCCATGCGTGTCTGCAAGGGACTCTTCTTCTTGGGCAATCCCCTTGTCCATTATCAAGCTGAAAGCAGAATAAACATTGACATTGGTCCCTGGCACATCCTTCCTTTACTGAGGCCACTCAAAGCAGCCCGATGGATAGCGGGAACGCGAGAGCTCGGGGCTTCCCCTCTCTACTCATGGGAGCCGGCAGGGGAGGAAAAGTCACGTGCCTGCCCCTCCCCGGAGGGGGTGTTTTAAAGAATAAGTTAAAAAGTAAAGGAAAACTAAATATTAATATTAAAATAAGAAGTTCTGTGAAGAGCTAATCACCTACTTTCCTTTGATACGAAACGGACCGTATAGAAAGCGACTCGTCTAACAATTCTTCTCTTGTTGAATGTGTATTCGTTGCCGCGGTTAAGTTTTTTTTACCCAGCAACGTTACAGGGATACACACACAGACTCATGGGAGGGATTTATGAAGTACGCCGTTGAGATGGGCTCAGGTGCCATGATATATACATACCGAGTTTCATGAGGACTGGTTCAGGCATTCAAAAGTTGGTGGGAGAGATTCACAGACACACAGATACAATGGTGATTGCATAGACCTACGTTTATTATTTTTCAAAACATGGAAAGTAGGCTGATAAAATATAGGGATATGCCATCTTTCATGCGAACAGAATGGCTGGACGAGTGGAGGGGAATATAGGGAAGCATAACAGGTAGAGGGAGAAGTCGAAGGACTAGATCCATGGAACTCATTTTCGTGGCCTTACTCCGTGGCTTGAGTCCGCAAGCAAACTATACCGACCGAGCGATCGCCGCTTGTCGGGGAAGTTAGTGCCAACTTTAGCGGCTAGAGGGTGTCGTATGGTCCGCGCAACGGATCCCCACGGCCGTTAATCTCGGTTTTCTAGACCGGAGCCGCTATTTCCTTGAAATAGCTCCTCAATTATCCTCATGAGGCTGAGTGGACCCCGTTCCAGACCCACTACTTCTCAGAAAATCTGGTAGCGCCGGGAATCGAACCCGGACCTCTGGATCTGTAGCCAGGAACTCTGACCACTAGACCACAGATGCGGTCTTTCTGTGGCTTCAGTAAAGCGCAACGAACTCTTGCTTTTGAAAGCTCAGTTCAGGAACCATCTAAGAAAACAAAAACAACCTGCATAATGACGAGTGTCCTCTTCGAGACTGACCCAAGAAACTGGGAATGGTTGAGCACGCGGATGCAGAAACTGGGGACGTCTAAGAAGACGATCAGATGATAGTTTCTGAGACGGAACGGGCTAACAGAAACCTCTCTTGAAGCAGATGTAGATAATCTTGATATCTCAATTAAAACATGAAATTCTTCTTTGAGCTTATCCAAATAAGTACTTGAGCGCTGATGCCTGCATATCTGAGTATATCTACATTCCTGACGAAGGGAATTAGACCAAAGAATGAAGCTATGGATGTTAGTGTCAGGGGCTGAATCAGGTCGCGTTCACGGACAGCTTTATCTTCTGAAGACGTTATCGGCTGCCAATATTGATACAAGAATTTCTTCAGTAAGACAGCAGCCACTGATAACACCATTTTGGAGGATTTAACGATCGTAAGCTGGTAATTAAATGGTACATTTCAAAACTTAACTCTTAAATCTGTATTTTATTATATATGATATGTGCCATAAATACAACAAGAAGTTTTAAGCAGAACTAATAGTTTACTTTTCTTTGAAACGACACGGATCACATGGGACACGACGCGTCCAGTAATTTCATTGCCTAGGGAACGTGTTTACCGAGCCGTTGCCTAGAAACGATAGAGCGAATAGACATACAGACTGATGGGAGGGATTTATGCAGTACGCCACTGATATAAATTGTGAAGATATGCAAACCATGTTTCATAAGAATTGGTTCAGACGTTAAGGGGGAGGGGGGTTCACAGAAACACAGACAGCAATTAAAAAAAAAAACCCTGTGCAACATGACATCATGCGTTAATTGACTTGCCTTTCTGGGCAGCGAAAAATCGAAACCGGTTACCGTTTGAATCGAGCACGGCATGCAGGCGAACGTCCGGGGTGTTCCGGTCATTGTTATATATAAAATGCACCTACAAATATTTTGAATAAATAATCTTTCAATTTGAAATTCGGTAATCCAACGTCTTTAATTACTTCGGATTATCGAGGCTGCGCTGTACATCAATTCATTTCTGCAAGAAAATGGAAAGAATGCCAGTACCTTATAGTAACTTCCTACAGTTGACTCTTTGGCCCCTGCGTTTATGTTGTCCTTTTGCCGCTACACAAACGGGAAGTTCAATGAACGAAGAAACACCAACGCAAGGAGCCAAGACTCTCTTCACGAACCAGCAACGCACTGACGGGTACTGATATAGTGACGCCTTGACCCACCTGTCGACAATGTATCAGCGGTAGTCTAATCACGAGGAGTGTTATGGGCCGGTAATGTAGTCTGTCTTTATACTTGACAGCTCTCAACAGCAAGCGCTGTGGAAGTGCTCGAGACCACAGACAAACAGCTATTGCAGCGTATGCATAAGTTATAGTACCACACTGCAGCTGCAATCACTGTCCCGCTACTTGATACACATCTCACGCTCAACTCAGAAGCCAATATAAACACACGGCTCACAGTCCAGGCGAGACAAGAGAAATGGTATTGTATTTTTGAAGAAATATCTTTTGTTACTATTCAGTTATTTAAAACAATAAGCTTATGTAACTGTGGGGAGAAATGGCTAGCTAAAGGTGAAAAAAGGTAAAGTCCTTGTGCTTAATTAAGCACTACGCCATGAAGGTGTGTGGGGGAGCGGATGTATAGATCCACATTTTCTTGATCTCGACACTAGTTGCTGGCGAGTGGTCAGCTTCACACCTCTGTCACTTTAACCCTGGGAAAAGAGCCCCAGTACCCATTAGATGGGCACCAGAGCCGGTCTGGATGAGATGGAGAAAATTCTTTATCCCATCAGAGCCCAAACTGAGACCCCTCCGTTGCCCAGCCAATAGCCAGTCGCTATACCAACTGCTACACAGAAATAGCAAGACTGTGACAAAACAGAACCAGTTCCCTTAGTTTTACAGATATTTCTAGGGCTTATGAATGTTCTTAAATAATTCTGTGCTACCAAGTTATTCAGAAAATAGTCACACAAATAGCCAAAAGAAATATCCCACACAGCTACATTCTTGAACACACTAGGATTTGCCACATCACATGTAAACAAAATTATACAGTGAATTGAAATGGGCAGAGTATCAAGGCATATTTTAAACATTAATCTCAACTACCTGCCCACTTTCACTGCCAGAAACTCAAGATGCCGGCTTTAAGCAGTACAGAAGCAGTTTGCAGTATTTCACAGAAATCAACTAGTCTATGTACTTGCATTCATGGAATAGCTACATGCATCATCAAGTGACTGAGGAGACTGCTCATGAGAGGGCAGTCTGAAAGGGAAATACTTACCCTGTTAGAGTGTGTAATAATCTGTTAGTTGATCTGACAAGCACCAATAAATACCCAGTCTTGGACAGGACAGTGAAAAGATTGATGTAAATTAGACGGGTGATGCACGGTGAAAGCAACGATAGGAAAAACAACTAAAAGGGACTCCAAAAGATGAGAGAGGGAATGTGATAAAAGGAATGAAGCACATTTAATAAATAAAGAAAATTCCCACTGAACGTTCAGTGTCAACTGCAATATTGTCATACATTACAGAAGGGCACAATGTAACATGTAATAATTTTTAATCTCTGCATGTACAAATGTATTTTACAGGAACATGTCATTTCTTTTACAAAAAGCTGCCTGACTAGATGCATCATGTATAACATAAAACAGAGAAAAATAAATACTTGCATTACAGCAAATTTAAACAAACAAAATTTGTAATATTATTAACTATTTATACAAATTACAGTAGATATCTTTACCATTACAAATTTATTTATGCGAACATGTAAGTTTACCTGGTAATGCAATAGCACCATAAATACATTCTGCCAAGAAGTAAACTCTCTGAACAGTAACAAGATTCTGTACAAAATATTTCTTTGTTTTTCTGAAGAAAAAAAAAATCCCACAAATTCTTGGCCATGCTCTGTTTACTTTAAAACAGAACAGTACAGTTGAACACAGTACTGCTGATAATTCATTAACGATACTTTCCAGCCAAAATCATAAATAAAAAGAATAAATTAGTGAAGTGTACAACACTTTGGTATTTACTACTAAAAAAAAAAAGAATGAACTTTGTAATCCACAAACAGGTATTTCAGTAAAGAAAGTCGTCTTCTGAGATCTGGCGCCCAGAAGACGACTTTCTTCATAGTCATCGCCGTGAAAACCTCAAAACTTACAAGGTATTTCAGTAGTTAAACTATGATCAATCTTCCCAGCCCACTTTTTAATATTACTATTACTTTCAGTAGCTACAAAGAGATTTCGTTGTAATACAAGACAATAAGTAGCTAAACTCAACCGCAAAAGGTTACAGGGGAAATTACATTAAGGCTTCTCATAGCAAAGCATAACACTACATGAAAACAAAAAGTCCTAATACAGGGAATGCTTTGATGATGCTAATGCCACTGGTTAGTTCACTATGAATTTTGAATTGTGTTAAAAGAAGTCATAAAACTGCCCCAACCAAACTTTAAATTCATACAGAAAACAAATTTATACTAGCAACACTTGGTAACTGCCCGATACACTGGCAATACACTGAAGGGTACGATCTTCTGGGTTGTAATGCTGTGTAGTCAGACAGCAGCACACCCGCATTTTGGATGAACGTAACTCCTCCATCTTCAGGGTCGAAGTAAGTCAAGCAAGAACCCAGAACAGTGCAAGGAGCAAACAGAGGTTTCTCACTTGGCTTACTCTTTCACTCTGAAGATAGAAGAGATATTGAAGCATGTAGAGCTGTTGCTATGCAACACCTGTGAGATAAACAGATATATAAGGGCTGTTTCTGGGCAACAGCTCGATAACATGTTCCCATTGCTAGACAGCAGATTCTGAACAATTCAACAGCTGGACTACAACAATGGAAGAGCTGTGTTTTCTACATGGTCTGTGAAGAGAGAACCTGACCCCAGAGGCAGAGGAAGGGCCACTGCTAGAGCCATTATCAGGAAATGTCTAGTAACAGTGTTAATATCTCTGAAATGCCAGTGGACCTGTACCAAACTATGTGGTATTATATGGCAGAAGATTGCACCCTTCATATTCACTCCAGTGATCCATAGCAGTACACCATTAAGATATGAAAGTACCAGCTCAGTTCTGTAGTTTAAAATACACATCATCAAATATCTCCAGCTCCTTCGTTATGTAATTGGCTTTGTTCCGCAGGAGTTTGGATGAACTGGCTGCTTCTTCCAACTGCCTTATTTCCTTGGCCAATGTCTTGATTTCTGCATCCATGTCATTAGTAGCTCCATCAACAAGATGACACAACCGTGCAAACGTGCTCGACAACTCTCTGTATAAAGCAATGTTAATTAGTGGTACTAAGTTTGGTACTTGCAATGGTGTTAAGGTTCTAATTTTAAAAAGTAAATATCCCAAAATGATTCAGCTTAAACATCTAAAACAAATTTAATTAAACTTATATCCACAAATTCGGATCCCACTCAACATGAAACAGCATCCTCATCACACACATCAACCAGTGAATTAATTTTGATCAAGGAAATAATTTCTGTTTATTCTTAAGGTTCATAAACACATGAATACAATGTGTAGGCAGAACACAGAGTGTTTTAATGTCGCAGCAGCTGGTATACATAGCAAACACTCTTCTTTAAAGCATTAATATTCTACCACCTAAAACTACCATAATCCATGAACAAACTGTATTTCCACATGGCCACAACTACAAAGTTGTGTATGTATGTGTTGATGCCATGCTTATGTTCACGAAAGAGATTATCCGAAGTCATTCTCCTGCAACATGTTATGTAATTTACATTACTGTTTTCCAGATGAGAAACTTACTGCTGTACTTGGTGGCTACAGTTAGCGGACGTCAAATCAACGATCTGCCTTAGTTTCTTCGTTGTGTGGTTAATATACTGTTGTTTGAACTGCCGTTCTTTGGCCTTGTTGGTCCAAGTCAGACGTTCATACAGATATATGCAACCATAGATGGCACCTGTCACAAGAATTACCCTCCATCCAACAGTCTTCAGCATCTACATGGAGGGGGAAGGGGAAAAAGAACAGTTAAAAAACGTAATCTCAGATTCAGTTTTCATCTCGTGAAGGACTGGCAGATGTTCTTCCCTTTCCTTTCCCAAAATTAAACAACAGCCAACAACATAACATTTACCAAGCTTCAGACGTACAGGAACTGAGAAGTGGTAGCTGTATACAAGTTGGTCCCATTCATAAATTTGACAGACACTTTAACAAAACTGCTTTACTATGCCGCTCCACATGAAACTGAAGTGGAACAAAACTTGTAAAAATATAACAGAATTTATATAAGCATAGGGGCATGTGGTAGCACAGTTGCTTGAGGAACTATGCTATGAACCAGAAGGTCACGGGTTCAATTGGCCTAATCCTTCCAGCTGCATAATGGCCCTGGGGTCGGCTCAACCCCTAACCAGGAATCTTCATGTGTGTAATGAGTGGCCAGTGCATAAGGCTGACACCCTCACCGCCATCTGTGAGCCAACTGCCTAGAAAATGTGGCAGTATTGACATTTCAGAACCCTATGGGCCTCCACGGCCTCTTACATGGACAGCCTTATATATTACTCCAGAACCAATTTCTTTCTAACATTTGAATGCAGCACATTTTTTTGTGGGTCATCTGATGACACTGCCAATAACTAGGCTAAATGGCATCATAATGGATTAATGATGAAACATTAGGGATCTGGAAGGAGGTGTCATGACCTAATTAAGGTACTACATCGGCATTACATGGAGGGACTGAATAAAAACCATGAAGAACCTAGCAGGATAGCTTTGTCCTGGTTGAGGTTCAAATAAAACACCTCCAAAATAAGAATCCAAAGGATTATTGCTTTACAAACATAATCAATGTTGGTCGAAACACATAGTGTGCACACACCAGTCTGCGGATTCGATTGTCTATATTATTATATTATTTCTATTACTGCCTTGTACATCTTCCACTTGCTCCTTGCTATGAATGTAACTTACGAATCCCGCAACCAGAAGTCCCCCCACTGTTCCTTGTGAGCCAATTGAAGCCATTGCTATCCTTGAAGCTATGCTCGTCCAGTCTTCTGTGCTGTTTGAAGGTAACTTTAAGTGCGTAACATCAAGACTGTCTGATGGTGACAGCAAATCACGTGGAATCTATAAAACAATATTAATTCACTGTTAAGTATTTCCCTGTAATATCAGATCTAATGAAAGGTTAAATGAAAATTCAACAATACGTCTCTTAAAGACAACACATTTTTTTGGTACAAGTTATGACAGACAGAGATGTTCAAAATAAACAAAACAGTAAGAAAAATAAACCTTTAAACTAAGTCATCACCAATGACCAATTAAATTCATATATGCTTACCCGCTGTGTATAGTTTGTTAATGCAAGGCTGTCAGCTTTCTTGCCAGCGAAGCGAGAGATGATGGAAGTAAGTCCCCATGAAAATCTAAACTCCAGATCCTCGTGGAAATCAGCACACAAGTTTTCACAGTTCAATCGATACAGAATCTCAAATGGTTCTCGTCGAGACAAAACGTTAAGAGAAACTTGCTTCTTGTCTGCCGGTAGCAGAACGGACATTCGCTCTGGCAACAAGAGGGCAGTACATACATATTGTAATATCAAGTTGAACAAGAAACAAACCAATAACTGTGGAGAGTGATATGTTCTGCGATGTGATGCCATGGAGTTCGGGACAAATTTACCGAGGTTTCAGAGGATCCCGCTGCATCCATCCTCAGGGTTAAAGGGCAGCAAGCTGAGGAACACAATCAGCTAAATAACTTAGAAACCCAGAAGACACAATCTGAACCTTCACACCCTGAAAACCTGGAAAGTCACACTATGCTTTCAAACGTATTATAATGTTGTGCAAGAAGAGATATATAACACAGGGTCGACTCATTACCTGTCATTTCACGCTGGCTATTCTCGATGTTCATTGCGAGCGCAGCAGACAACCTGGAACGGAGGTTACTGCCCATCCCGTTCTCAACATAGACATGCAGCTCCTTCTTGTAGCCGTTCAGAACAAGCTGTTCAGGATGGAAAGGCAGACTGAACTCGTCCACTAACACAGCCAGGCGGCGGATCTCTTCACTTAATGCTTTGGACACCTGAATATAAAGGAATATTGCAACAGAAAATTATATTTCTCTGGCCTGGACTGCGACTTAACATATTCATTCTACTTTAGACATCTATACATTTTTCTTCTCACAAACATCCTGGAAAATCTAAACAGCAGGAATGTTTGAAATGACTTTCTCAGTTCAAAACAAGCTCAAGGTGGGAAGTTCACAAAATATCAGGCCAGAAACAAGAACTGTTTCTGCTTCACCGATTTTTTTGTGGTGCTCACAAATTTTACTAATAACACTAACAACTTTTCCACAACACACCAAAATGTGATACTCATCCCCTTTTGGTATCAAACAGTGAATAACCAATTCAGACTCACATGGAAAGAAGTGACTGTAACCTAATCTGAGGTAAAGTTTTTTCTGGTGGGATTGAGGAAAAGCATGATAGTGTGTCTCCTGGCAAAGATTTGAATCAGACATGTCCCAAATAAAAACCAAAATTGCTATGCTTTAGTAAACTTGTTCAGAAGATCAATATGAAAAATAAATGTAACATCAGCAGAATCCAGTGCTGCAGGTTCCCACGAAATGACTTGCCTTTTGCTCAACATCTTCCACCATCTGACGGATCTTGTCTTTCATTTCCTGTGTGAGAAGTAGCAGCTGCTGCTCGGTGAAGTTCAATTTCTCGTGAAGTTCCTTCTTTGACTCGGCCTTCTCTGTTCTAAGCTGCTGTGCCCGATCGTATGTCCTATCCATGACTGTCCGTACGTCTGCAACGATAAGCTTCCCTTGTTGCGAGTGCTGCTGAAATTTTGTTCTCACTGCTGACTTTGATATGCAATCTTCAAACTTCCTCTCAAAGTCTTGGAATTCAAAATATCGGTTATGGAAGCCATCTGCTAATCCACCACCTACGACAAAAATAATTATGTTACACAGGGAGATATAAAAAAAAATGGTAAAAATGAATGAGTCCACAGTTTTGGATGAGACTTATACAGAACATACGTCAGTGTGTGCGCAAAAAGTTATTCAGTTTGGTCAGTTCATTATAGAGGAAAATATTTTCTATTCTGAAAATTAAAAATATCACTTTAATTATAATTCATTCACATTTACTGCCCAAACTGATACTGAATAGAATCCCTGATTTCTCAGAGTACAGTTTGAACCCATCTTTTTCCATCTGTCAATGGCTGATCAGATGGTTTCTTGCGATACAAGTGGCTGCACACTTCAGATTCTACGTTCCAGCAACTCGGAGACTGAAATGGTTCTCTCTGGATTTTATATACAAACTTTTTAAGGTTGTACCAGACACGGTAATCTAATGGATTTAAATCTAAAAAATTCAGTGGCCACTGTTTAGATTTAACAGATCCAATGGTAGCAACATCCAACACTTTCTGATAGCTGGCAATATAAATGTAAAAAATGCTTATTATCTTAACATTAAGATGGAAAACATTCCTCCGTGTAACAAATCAAACAAAACGAAAAAAAGAAAATATATTTTTTATACCCATACTTAGGTATGCTGCACACAACTTACAAGAGCCCCATTAAAGTCTGCAGAACCATTCCTTATTGCCATTTATTTTTGTGTGAGTGCATACCACCCAGTATTTGAATATTTAAGTGACAGATATAAAATTTATATACCCATAGCAGGGAATATTAAGGGTGTAGTCTTCTAGGATGCGAGTCTGCGTATGTGAAGGTGCTGAGCCTCCTGCTTCAGGGCAGAGGATGCGTGCAGCTAGTTGGGAAAATAAGGTGTAATACAAGGACAGGGCTAGGGACACTCCCTAGGAGACAACGGACCTGAACGCCATCTATCAGACTACATGGCATCATAACCCAGAAGACTGCAGTCACACAGCTCTTGAAATTGCTTCTCCTGGCACTAGGAAAGTCTTTTCAGTTAGGATTACTCGGTTTTTGGACTTTGTCCATCGTCTGGTATTCTAAAAACTAGAAAGCACAATGTTTTGGAAATTGGATCTGTTTGGTGTCTCCCCCTTACCTGAGGACGGAAACAGGTCCAGTTTCCAAAATGTCACGTTTTTTTAGTTTTTGGAATACTGGGCAATGGACGTCCAAAACCTCAGTAATTCTGAGTGTTACACACTGTCAGAACCCTTTAGAAGTCCTTTTCAGGTCATGTGCCAGGTTTCTTTAAACTTTCACTACATGATAAAATGGAATGTATCACGTTCTGAAGAAAAATGCAGATTATGGGAGATTTCCTAACTAACCTGACTCTAATCAACATCCATAAGACAATATGACACACAGACTTTAGACACTAACTGTGTGATCTCTTCCTTCAATCATCAAACCACATATTGACAACACTGGAACTTACACTGAAACTCTCGCATAAGGTTTCTTAGGAAACAGTGGATTTGAATACTTCAAAAACAAAAAAAAGAAGAAGAAAAAATGGAGGAGCTGTAGCACAGAGATTATTTGACTTTGGATCCCTGAAATTGATCACTAAATTAGGGGAAAACCTGCAATAAGGAACATACTGTATGGATGAGTAATTGTTTTATTCTCACTGTGGGCAGGTAGGCCCTTCTGCTCCTGCAGGCGAGCCTGCAAAGCTTCCCTCGCCGACACAAAGAATATCCTTTCGTGTGCCTCCTTCTGTGTACACACTTTCAATTCCTTGACCAGGAAGTCAACAGCTCGCTCCATATGCTGGGCTCGCACCTACAGGAATATATTTCAACATTTCATTTGTGGTTTATTTAACAATACTACAGAGCACTGAACAGTATATATGTTCAGTGCATAGTGAATTGGAAAGTATATGAAAGTAGCAATAGCCCAATTAAGGCATTATCACCACATTTGCCTCAATGGACTGAGAGAAACCATGACAAACCTGTCAGGAAACAAGCTGTCCCAGCCAAGCTTCAAACTGAACACCTCCCATATATGGGTCCAGAGTGTTACTGTCAACACTGACTTGCTGGGCCTAATACATGGGGAACAGAGTTACCACACACACCTCGCTTTTATGTGTTGAGGATTTCTGGTAATAATTTTTAGGAACAGAATGCAATTTCATTTGTTGTCACCTGATTTCAAGGGAAAGACAAAACTCCTTTAACAACATATTGTGACGCGTTGCGCTATATATGATGCCCCTCCCCCCACCCCACCAGCCGTGATGCGCCGAGCGGAGCCGAAGTTAGCCAAGTCCCAGCATCCTGGTAGCTATGCAACACGAGTCAACAGCGGTGACATCACCAAGGGATACCGCGGTTGCTAGGCAGCAGTAAACAACTCCGGACAGCATTGCTAGCAACCCAGCACCACACAACAATGGTGCCTATTACGTGGCTGTTTTCTGAGTTGTCCGGAATGAGGCTAGATACGGAGCAGCGAAGACTATTCATAGCCAGTGTGTGATCAACAGAGTTCTCAATCTAGCCAGTGGAGAGTTCCGAGTTCATCAGTTGTATTCTGGCATTTGCAGTGTAGTATTTGTGATACTGCAGATAGCAGTAATTGTGAATCTGTAATTTGGGTGATTGTAAGAGCGAATGTGCAATAAAATTCGCTATATCAAACACGGCGTGAAGTTATTTGTCGTGTTATACACCCAATACGTGACAATATCATCAATTTAATCCTTGATCATCATCACAATATTTACGGATCAGGCGTTATTTTCCTGACGTTCCACTACAATCAGTACAATACCGAACATAGCAGTTTAGCAATAATGCTCTAGGTATGTATTTGGGAAGTGCTCGATTTGAATTTTTGATGGGATATCTCAGCCGAGGTTTTTGTGGTTTTACTCAGTCCCTCCACACAAATACCAGGTTGAAATCTAAATTACACCTTAACCGCTTACATCATTATAAACAATATTATAACATACTGTATTACTTTATTCTCGATGTATTCATAATAAATTACGCTGATTTTTCATGGAAGGTTTCCTGTAAATATTTACTGATTCTTTGCCAGTTTTCGTTAAATTCAAATCTTGAAAACTGAGATGTGTTAACAAGAGGTAACATGTTACATCAATAAATACAGTGCATCAGCATACAAGATGAAAGGGTTAAAGAATCCTCACTTACCATTTCTGTCACATTAACAAGAGGTAAGACAGAAATGGATCCTTCTTTTACATGACTAAGAGAACATTATGTGCACATGTACTTTCCTACTCAAAAGTGATGCAAGACATAAGCGTTAAACAAGCAGTAATATGTTGCATTTTGCCCGATAGCCTTACCTCATTCTGTTCGTTTCGATGCTTGAAAGGGAGACAAGAAAAACAAAACATTAGGCTTGTCTATGGAGTTATCATGACATTATCTTGCATATACATGATAAAATGTACATTTCCTATGTTATGACTGCAGAGTACTTGAGTAGGCACTATATAAGATACAGATAAAGTTATCCCCATGCTTAATCAAGCACAATGCCACATTTACTTATAGCATGAAACACTTTGACCATAATTCAGATGATCCAATCCATATTAATGATTCTGTAGTCATATTAATGACTATATAAATGCATGATTCAATTTATATACAACACAGCATTCAGTGTATCTTCCTGGTTGCCCAGCCATGTCAATTCAGAGCAAAGTTCAACGTTATGAAAATATTTTCTGTCTCTATCACCATCATAATAATTACACTGAACAGGATGATGCAGAAGGAATATATGGGAGGTGATCAGTTAAAATCTCAGCTGGGAAATTGGCTATCCTGAGATTTTTCATGGTTTTACTCAGACTCTAGGCAAATGTCAGGAGAGTACATCAATTAGAACATTGTAGTTTCCTTCCAAATCCCATCCAGTTCATCCAACACTGTACATTGTATGACACTGACAGCATCATAAAAAGAAACCCTCAACCAAAACAAGCAGAGAAGAAACTCATCAACATTCCTTTATGTTGGAGGCAGACAAGGTCTTCAGAATTTGGACTCCAAATTGACATGGCAGTCATCCAAGATTTTATCAATGTATGCCTGAAGTAATAAACAGGATGAAATGGAGCGTTCTTGGTGTCACTATCGCCTATGTTCGAGCAGAATAAAACAGCGTTAGGTTAAAAATTTCATATACAGTAACTATCAACATTAAAATACAATTTAAACTTCCAACATTTACAAAGATAACATTCATTTACCTGANGATCACACAAAACAGTTGTCACTATAAACTCTGCCGAAACTAGTCCTTACCTTCTGAAGCAACGGTAGTCAGCTTATCGACTCAGGAATGTTAGCGCTATGCGCTCATAGCGGCAAAACATGGTACTACAAAAACTCTGCCCACAAAAAAATTAGTTCAGTTTCTTTTGGGTACCCCATCGTATTTTAAGTTGCCATTATTGAGACCAAGTGACTGTAAATGTACCATTACAGGTGGAAGACTGTACTACAGTCATCCTGCCGGAGCCAGTTCTACCTGATCCCACAGAGACTTGGGNCATTGCAGTTTCCTTCCAAATCCCATCCAGTTCATCCAACACTGTACAGCGTATGACACTGATGGCATCATAAAAAGAAACCCTCAACCAAAAAAAGCAGAGAAGAAACTGACCAACATTCCTTTATGATGAAGCAGACAAGGTCTTCAGAATTTGGACTCCAAATTGACATGGCAGTCACCCAAGATTTTATCAATGTATGCCTGAAGTAATAAACAGGATGAAATGGAGCGTAAGAAGTTCTTGGTGTCACTATCGCCTATGTTCGAGCAGAATAAAACAGTGTTAGGTTAAAAATTTCATATACAGTAACTATCAACATTAAAATACAATTTAAACTTCCAACATTTACAAAGATAACATTCATTTACCTGATCAAGAAATTCAGGCTCGGTAGCTGAGGCATCCCAACGGTTGTTCAGAATGAATATGTTTGGTTTCGATAATCGTGTGGACACTTTATGGAAGAAATTTTTCTCCTACAAAGGACACAAAACTTGGCATTATACACAAAGGCTGAACCCAAGAATTATTTGTCCAACCTCGGTGAAGGGCTTGCAGTTATCAAACATCATGCAAGTCTGCCAGCGTTAGTACTGGAATGCTTTACATGGTGAAATGTAAAACTACGAACAAGGTATATACAATGACATTCAACCAATCATTAAAAAGAAATGTAGATCTGTGGATAAGTTTTAAATAATTTGTATATGATTAGTAATCACACTGTAAAGATTGATTCTTTTAAGAACTGGTTGACCATCCCTGAAAATGGCCTAAAGGCCAGTACTTTTATGGCAATGTAATGATTTGCTGTGTTAGATGGTGCCTTTGAAATGAATACAGAAATTCAATAACTTCACCAAAAACTTCAAGATCTGCAGAATGTAATTTATGTAGTCGTACTGAAATAACTGAAACAATCAGCACACTTAAATATGTTAAACTGATACAGTTCCTTAATCTGTGTGCACAATTAAAAATATGGCACCCTTTACTGCTGGAACGTTTGGAAACGAATGCACAGCGTAACAATGGTGCAATGGCTCTCTTTTAATTATCTCCATAAGTTTAAAACTTACAGAAGAGTTCTGTGCATACAACATGTGTTTTAAGTTTGCAGGGCTGCACAGGTTACTGTAGCAGTAGATTTGTATCCAGGAGGTGCTCAGTATGAATCTCAGCAGGACATCAGCTGTCATGACTGGGGTTTTTGTGGTTTTAGCCAGTCCCTCTACTAAAATTCTGGGATAGTATCTCAATTAGACCACAGCCACCTCCTTTCAAATCCTATCCAATTCATTACTCCATTATCACCTCACTACATGGTCCAAGACACTGGCAGCACCATGAAATAAACTATGGAAAGATATTTATGTTCCTGGTTATTTCGATGTCGGACCTCGAGTAAGATCAAAACCAAGAACACAGCTGAACGCTCAGTAGTTGTAAAACTTATGATAACTCACTGTCAGCATCAGGGTAGATTCCGCATTAGCAACGAGCACAAAGACATCCGCGTCCTGACAGTATCGGTCAATCCACTCGTCCAAGTTAGGAGACACATCGATTCCTGGCGAGTCAACAAAGACAACATCATCCCTCAGCAGCACACACTTGTCTTTGGGCCAGTAGATATGCACCAACTGGTTTTCGCCAAGCTTCTCCTTACACAAGGCATGAGCAAGTTGTCCAATAGACTGAAACACACAGGACACCCTTTCCATAACCTATGAACTGATCATGAAATTCTACATTACTGAATCTAAATGCTTATCACTGTTATCATACAAGCCCTATAACAGGCCGTGGAGGCCCATAGGGTTGTGAGACGTCGAGGNGAAGCCCTAAATAGTAATCTTATAAAAAAAAAAGTAATAGTATCCCTGTAACAGGCCGTGGAGCCCCATAGGGTTGTGAGACGTCGAGGCTCCAAAATTTTCTCTAGACAATCGGCTCACAGATGGCAGTGACATCACCCTTACACGTCGGCCGCCCTCTACCCCCAGGAGGATTCCTAGTACTCATTTCTGTTGAGGCTCAGTCAACCCCAGGGCCATACTGTAGTTGGAAGGATTAGGTTAATTGAAAAAAAAATCCACCTCATCGGGACTCGAACCCACGACCTTCCAGACTGTAGCATAATGCCTCAACCATGCTACTGTGTGCCCCTAATAGTTTACATTTTTCCAATACATAAATTCCATTGTAATATTATAATCCCACCACTGCCTAGGCCTTCTTTCGAGCATTCAAATAAAAGTTCCGTATGTATTTCTGGTTTCTACTATATATGTACTGTACATATCATCCACCTTGATTTGATCACCATAACAATATTAAGTGAATGGAACAAACTTTAAGTTTCTCATTCAGTACTTGCTTCCCTACATAATACCGACCCTTGTTCAATAAGTTCTTGGCCAATTAACAAGACTATGTACATTGAACAGGAACTTCTGGCAAAAGGAATAATAAACTGCTAACATATGCAAATACACTGAAATCTCTTTAAAATAATGATAAATTAAATAAAAATTGAAGGAACCTCAAGTCAACAATCAAAGAAATTCCAATGCCACAAGCATCAAGGCTTTGGTGTATGTTCCAAACGTGATTAAGGTGCAAGGTAACAATTTCCAATGAAGAAAATGTGAATTAAAATTTTCTGTTTCAGCCATGATCACACTAAACTGAAGTATAAAATTAAGGCAAAAATTTCTTAAACTGAATTTCAGCTACTTATTAAATCTAAGCTCATTAAGTATGGAATAACAATACATTATTTTTAGCATGCTTGACCAGAGAAAGTATTTGCTAAGTAAGGGAAATCACTGCATGGGGAAATATTAAATCAGGATTTCACTGTACCTTGACATTTTGTTTCTCCGTTGAATCTTCTGTGACAAGATAAGACTCTCCGCTTTCAGAGCCCTCCACTTGAAGAAAACAGTGCGTTGTATGACCAATACCACTAGGAAGGATCTTGTCATGTAACATTGCGTTAATCACTGTGCTTTTGCCATTGCTTGTCCTGCACACAAAGAGACGGTCCAATTAAAGCTACGAGAATTACCAACGGTTAGCAAACAGGAACATTTCAGAACAAGTAACACACAACAACAGAGGAGCTGCGTTTTCCGTGTCTGTGGTGACATCACATAACAGTGAATAGAGACCACGTAACGCGTTTTCTGCAGATCCAATGGACGTACCAATAGACTAGCTGGATACCAATCATGTGATATGTGTTTACTGTAGGCCCATGTCCCTTCCGCGGCTATATAATTAAGTGACAGAATTTGTTCAGGGCAGTTACGAGTCAGTCGTATGCTGGAGGAGTAAGTTCAGAAGAATTTTTATTTCCGAGGATCCAGAGGGATTAAGGACGAAATAGTAAGACGACTTCATAGTGAGTTGAAGTGCTAGTTTCTGTGTTGAGATCCGTTGCTAGGAGATGACTAGTGAAGTCAGACAATCCTAGTGCGTCTGCAATGGGGAATTGGAAAGTGTGTACATCAGCGATAGCACTGTATTTAATCGTGATTAAGAGAACTGGTAACCAAGGTGCTAATAAATCCAAACTAGAACAAATTTCTGTCACATGTACAATCCTGTATGTGACATTTTGGTGTCAGAAGTTGGCTGTTCGAATTGTATTGGATTCACCAGCAATTATTATTACCCATTTATTCATGCTATATAATTTAAGTTATGGAAGTGTCATTAAATAAAATACAAAACATGAACAGCACTTGAACTTTGCAATGGAGTAGTTTTTTGGGAGATAAGAATTGAACTTATATATATTGTGGTATATAGGCCCACTGCAAAGTGATGACTCTGTAAACAGCACCCACTACTAGGTAAACAAGCATGCAGCAATACAAGATATGTGTTTTCTATGTGGTCCGTGCCAAGATGTTATAACCAACGAAGTAGTCTGTTGAGAGTTAGTTCTGTACAGGAGGCTGTGAAGAAAAAAGTTAGTTGTAACAGCGCTCTGTTGAAAGTCTGGCTGTGAAGAGATGACTTTATCTATGATATCTGGAGTGTGTAATTCAGTGAGACCGTTATATAGTTCCTGTGTTTTAAATCCACTGCTAGGAAACGGCTAGTGGAGACTGTAATAAACTAAGGACAGTAGCATGTGTAACAGTGAACTGTAAAGCGTGGAAGTAGCAAGTGTTGTAGTTACTTGCAGTACAACCTGTAACTTCTTGCTTCAAACGTGTAAGGAAACAGAGATAGAACAATCCATTTGCCCCCTGCTTACTAATTCTTACTTGCTTCTGACCCAGCGAATATGAGGCCACATGACTCACTACATGGTGAACACCAATTAATCATCTGGGAATATACAGATAAACGATATGTGGTTAATTCTGAAAATAAATTCAGAAAGGATAAAGGTCAAGATACTGTCTTATAACTTATTACCTTCCAAAGAAAGCCACCTTCATGTGATTCCGAGTGAGAACATCTCGGATGCCCTTCGCCTTCGCAATATAGCTTTCAACTTTCGCTGCGTCATCAGAATTCACAATGCTTCTCTCTCGCTGCAGGCCTGCAATATAAAACAATCCAATGCAAAAATTACAAGATCAGTGAAGTTTACTAATTCGGAATACATGGAGGGAAAGGGGAGAGTGGTAAGAATTAGGCAATAATCCAAATTACCAGAGTGACAATAAAAACAAAAGCTATTAATTGCAATACATTGTCGCATGTTAGTGACTAGACACAGGACTTGGATTCAAATGGCATTTATTGAACACTTACAACTACAAGCAACTATAATGCTCTCACTAATTCACACACTCTAATTCTCACTACAGCGCACGCTAAGACTTCTCAGTTTGCTATGTCTTTGCCAGTCATTGCTTGGTAATGGATTCCAACAATGGCCTCTTCTGCTTACATCATTGCCAGTCTTCTACTAACTTTCAATTCATGACTGAATATTGACTCAGCTGGTGTTCTTGTTACATAACATCAGCATGGAACAGTAAGGTTTTCCCTGTACTTAACTAAGTAAGCACTAAGCCATGAAGGTGTATAGGGGAGTGGATGTATAGATCCACGTTTTCTTGATCTCAGCATTTGTTGGAGGTGAGTGGTCAGCCTCACGCCTCAGTTGGTTTACCCCTGGAGAAAAAGCCCCCAGTACCCATCAGATAGGAGGCTGGGTGGACACCAGAGCCAGTCTGGATGACATGGAGAAGTGAAAGTTCCTGACCCTACCGGGACTCAAACTGTGACCCTGTAGTCAGTCGCTATACTGACTGAGCTAATAACCTTAGCATGGACCCCATAAAAATAATTTCCAAGAATTCGTATATTGTTGTATGTTTATCAGCTGCTGCAGAAACATGTTTACCATGCAATGGCTGTCTAAATCAGTCCTCATGTCACAATATTATTAAAACTATCAATGGGGGCAATGGGTTTCCCCGTAACATTGGTACAACCTACCAGACTATACGGTGTCACAGCACAGAAGATCACAATATGAACATTAATGATGTTGATATTTTATCTGAAGGATAATCTGGTACTTACATAACAGCAGCCATGTTGCCTGCCAAATTCATTTGCAAAAAACAAGACCCAAAGCCAAACCTCAGAATTTGCCTCCAACAAATCAAAGAGGTTAGGTACTGATTTTACAGGGATAGGCCTTTGGTTCAGTTCTGAAAATGTTAAGCTTTTCAACTTTAAACATAAACTTCTAGCGATAGCAGTGATAACATGGCGGACAACAAGGTGGTGAATTTACTTAAGTCACTCATCAGTATGTACCTATCATTTCTTTATCTTGCAGTGGGGTAAGATTCAATTCTTTTGTACCTAATTAAGCATCTCAGAATGAAGATGTATAGGGCTCTGGGTTCTGGGTCCATTCTGTCTTCACCTTTATGTATGTGAGTGGTCAGATCAATGCCCCTGGCAATTATACATCGAGGGAAAGGGCCCCAGGTACCCACCGGATGAGAGGGGATGCCAGTCTGAATCTTATGATAGTCAATAAACTGACTAAGCTAACTCAGCACCTTCATTGCCTCAACAATTTTTGTAATTTCTCAAAAACTTGAGCTGAACAACATACCAATATCAGAGTATTAAAACTCCAACTAGCCCTGACCTTTTCAGTCATGGTTTGTTTAAAAAAATATTTAATTTGGTAAGATGGAAGGTCATGGGTTCAATTACCAATGAGATCACTGGATCTTTTTCAATTTACCTAATCCTTCCAGCCACACTATGGCCCTGGGGTCGACTCAGCCTCTAACAGAAATGAGTACCAGGAATCTTCCTGGGGGGGGGTAAAGGGCACCCTGCCAAAATGTAAGGCTAACCTCACCGCCATCTGTGAGCTGACTGTCTAGAAAATGTTGGGGTCTCAACATCTCACAACCCTATGGGTGCCCAAGGCCTGTTACAGGAATAGCTTTACTGTTTTCTCTTTTACTTACTCTGTACATAAGTGACAGAATCAAGGACATAATCTTCAATCTCAACAAATATGTCGTTGATCTTCTTCTTTGCCTTGATGAAGATCTGAAGTGAGGAGGAATCATGTAAAGACTGGCCATCACCCATCGGTCCTACAGCCATGGATGTACCCCGGCCAACAGGATCATCACCAGACATCAGCGAGACTGTACGGTTTATATAAGCAGCCATGACTACTATATCCTCAGCTATTCATGCAGTGTTGCAAAACTGAAAAATACAAATCATAAATATGTAACTACAGCCAGTCCATGACTAACACAAAGTTTTAACCTTCTCAAGTTTCCCACTGCGGCAGCCCGGGTTCAATCCCGGGTCTGGTTAAGTGGCATTTGTGGTGGACAAAGTGGCACTGTGGCAGGTTTTCTCTGAGTACTTCTGTCTCCTCTACCAATCTTCACTCCACCAATTGCTCCACAATCACCCTCACCTATCATCTGGGGCTGGTACAACAGGCCAGAAATGGCCGCAGTAAAAAGGACTCAGTCCCACCCCACTAGCATTAAAAGAATAAACCTTCTCAAGTTGGACCTCAAAAAATGTTTATGCCATTTGTTTCCAGCGTTATAAAGCTGTGAAGGAGCATTATCTTCTGCGATATACTGTCACGTAGCCTGTTGAAAATCACTCGATGTTTCAGAGGAACGTGTCCCCTCCATTGCCAGCGTCAAAGAATTGGCTGAGCAAGAAACCAGCATGAAAGCAGGTGGCAAGCAGAATGACCCTGAAAATGGGAATGATACATTCCTCCAAAATTTTGGTCGACTTTCAAAAGACTACACAGTGTTACATCCCAGAAGATTGTACCTTCGTAACCACTGCTGTGAGAACCTCAAATCCTACTGTATTTGCTAATTTCTTTTGGTACTAATTTCATACTTGGCCCCAAAAAGAACTTGATGCATGCACTTGTTGAGCACACATCCCAACAGACTTGAAATAATTCCAATGGGGTTGATTTTTGACTAAAAAGGCTGGCTTATGGGGTATCAAATTTCTTCTATGACTTCTTCACAGTACCCAACTAACACAATTACACCTCACACGCAATTGTACATGAATGCAACCACTGTGTTACTTATGAACTGGGCGTACACAAAAACAAACAGTGTTCACATAAATAAGAAAACTCATTGTGGTTTCTGCTGAAAACATAAAATAGCCATGCAAGGTAACGCATTTATTCAAACTCAAATGTGTAAGAGAAAATTAGTGTTCTGCTCTATTTGATAATACTGTGCTGAATGTGTACATTATGCAGCATCAAAAAGAAATAATTAAAGTTGTGGGGGGGAAACAATGGACAAATATCCTCCTCCATCCTCCTCTCTGTGTGCCTTGCCCCACTCCAACTAGATGTCACCTACATGCTGGCTTCCATTCCATCTGTCTGTGTTGTCAGTTTGTCACTGGTGTTGAGAGAGCAGAGGTGAGTAATTACATGTAGTGGGGCGGTGCATGGCTGACCTGGACTCCGACCAACCATGTTCATTCTTTCCCAGATCCAGGGAAGACAATTATGAATGATAAATTAGGATAAAAGGGAGAGGAAATGGTTGTGGCCCACTTTAAAGTACTACCCCAAAATTTTCCTGGCAGCACAGAGGTACAAGACTGAGCCAAAATATTTTGCTTTTCATCTTGCTGGCCTCAAACTTTTGTGCCTGTCCTATTAGGGGCAACAATCTCCCACTCCCCTGTTTGAAGCCCAAATGCCTCTAATCGTTTCCCTACATAATGTACCCTTATTTTGCCACACTGCTTACTCCACTACCCTGAAGATGGAAGCAGCAGGTGCCTCAAAAATTCCAATAACTTCTTACCATGCTACAGTGCACCCTAAAAGGTAAGTAAAACGTAAATATTTCCTTGTAACAGACCGTTGAAGCCCATAGCGCTATGAGACGTCGAGGCTTCCACATTTTCTAGACAATCGGCTCACAGATGGTGAGATTGTCAGCCTTACGCACCGGCTGTCCTTTACCCCCAGGAAGATTCCTGGTACTCATTTCTGTTAGAGGCTGAGTTAACTCCAGGGCCATAGTGTGGCTGGAAGGATTAGGTCAACTGGAAAAGCCAATGACCTCATCGTGAATTGAACCCGCAACCTCCTGGCTTGTAGCATGGAGGCAACAGGTTCCCCTGGAATGTGGGTAATGTTCTACTACATAATATTACATCCAAGAAGTCAATTAATAATTATATTACAAGATTTTAAGTCATCACAATGATGAAGAATCATATTGTGGTCTTATGGGTTATGACATCATGTGGTCTAGAAAATGTATACAAACATTTCAGACGAATATACTACGTTCATCTATCTCTGCACCCTGTTTTGTTCACAACATTTCTACACAACCTGTCTTTTTTCCAGCTTGGCTCATTTAACACTAAAAATTGATGCAGTATTTTCCTTGGAAACGTTGGTAAGTGCATAACAAACAATACACTACTAACACTATGGTTAAATATTCTGACTTTCAGGAATTACTGCCTTTTTTTACTAGTTTTTTAATATAGGACGACGAATTTGGTCTAAAACTCAGTATTTTTTAGTGTTATACACCATCGTCAGAACCCTTTAGAATATATTCCGATTTTGGTCCAGCTACTTTAATATACTGACAGGGCTGGGCAAATTTGCAATTTCTGTCACCGAACTTATAATACCTGACCCTCCATACGCTCTGTACGTTCTATATTAGGTTAGCTATTTTATGATTCAATTGTTGGTTACCAAGTAACGAATGTAACTTCGAAAGACTCGCCATGTAAATTTTAGGTTAGGCGAAATTTGTTCTATGCAAGCACTGCTCGGAATAATATAATACACAGCACAGTAATAAAGTATTAAACTACAAACTGTTCCAACAAATATTACTTTCTTATTTACGTATACATACTCAATTACAAATGCCGTATACCGACAGGGCTGGGTAAATTGGCGATTTCTGTCACGGATCGTAAAACACGTGAACCTCCATACGCTCTGTACCGCTTTGTGCGTCATACAGTAGGTTACTTGTTATTTTATAATGGTTACCAAGCAACGAATGTAACTTCGAAAGGCTCGCAATATAAATTTTGTTAGGCGAAATCTGTTCTATGCAGAGGGAAATCTCAAATGTGAGACAGTAAAATAAGTTCGCGAGTCCTAAAGGACCTCACAAACACTGCGCTGTCAAGCGGCAGCAGCATATACAAAAGACAGACCCATCCTCTCGTCAGAGAGGGCGCCCCACAGAAAAACGACCTAACTGTCGAGGGGTAACAAATATCTGGCCATGACCCCCAGGAAGGTGCTAGATACGATGACTTACTGACTGATAGCCAGTCGCAATATGACTTTGTTCCATGCAAACACTTCTCAGAATTATATGTATTAGCACAATAATAAAGCATTAAACTACAAAACTGTTCCAAGTATTGGTTTCTTATTTACGTATACATACTCAATTACAAACGCCGCAGATGTAAATGCCAAATGATTAAATCAATATGTCCAACACAGTTTCGTCTACTCTATGAACAAACCGTTGCCTACATTAATAAATCATGGCTTTCTCACCTACACAAAATATAAGTTAAGTAAGAAAATAATCATTCAAGCGCATGTTTTACATTTTTAATACCATACTTACCAAATGACATATACTACCTCTCAAAGGCACTGCCGCTGAATGAGACTTCAATGGTTTGGATTTTAGAAAATAAATTTATAATATAGACACAATATAAACCGGATTTTGTGTGGGGTAACAAGAACTTCGGCAGCCAATTTCACATGGTGTACTCACCTGACTCAACCAGATTCAATCGTAAAAAATATCAATTTTTGTCCCTTCCATAGCACCTCAATGCCACAGAACAATCGGAAAACAACTGACAATCAAAATGTTCTTAAACGTTTACATTCATACAGGGAGAAGTGAACCGGGACACACGGATACCAACTCTGGAAACGTGCCGAAACTGGCATCTGACGCCATGTACAGGTACCAGAGTTTAGGAAAACTGCTACCTCTATTTTCTGGGTAAGGAGTTCCAGGTTTACTCTCTTGGGATGTGACTGCTGGATGGGTACCAATGTTTCAGAGAAACCTGACACCTCCATCTTCAAGGTTGAAAAGCCTGATGCCTCCTCCTCCACAGCAGAAGAGCTTCTCCTCTACAGAATAAGGAAACATGTGCCAGTAAAATGTTGGTACCTATCTACATGACGACAGCAGTGTTCACAGTCACTGAATTTAAAAACCATAAATCTTTCATTAAGAACTGATAATAGCAATGAAATAAATGAATTTACATCAACTTCTTTGCATCCAATACTTACTTCACATCTGCATTTACCTTATCATTAATCAACGAACCAGAAGTCTCTAGTCCTGATATTGCTGACCATTAAAGAACCCAAAAGAAATAATACACAATCCTTATATTTGATTTGTTAGCCTTATTTATGTTTATTTAACAAAAACTACACCCAACTGCTGATTCACTGGAGCACAGGTGCTCTCAAGAAACAAAAAATCGCTCAGCTAGTCAACATATTCCATCCTCTTTGTGGAACCTGAACGTTCACCCCAATGCTTCAAACAACCTGCCATTGGTTCCTATCCCACATCAGATTCCCACACATATTTAAGACTCATTTTAATATTATCCTCCCACCTACATATATATAGGTCTTGAAAATAGTCTCTTCCATTCACTTCTTTCTGCTCAAGACTTTGTGTACAATTCTCACCTCTCTAATATATGCTACATGCCACATATACCCAATCCTCCTTTTTCATCAGGCATGTACAACATGTCAGAATGGAAGAGACCACTGGGAAGACCAAGGCGTAGGTGGGTGGATAATATTAAAATGGATCTTAGAGAGACAGGATGGGATGGTATGGATTGGGTTGATCTGGTTCAGGATAGGGACCAGTGGAGGGCTCTTGTGAACATGGTAATGAACCTTTGGGTTCCATAAAATGCTGGGAAATTCATGTATAACATGCACCCTGAATGTTGCTGTCAAGTGCACAGCACTCTTCTTTTGTAGTTGGGAGGTCTTGGTTCAAATCTGAGACCAGATACCGAAAATTTCGACTGAGAATGTTTGTGGGTTTCCTCAGCTCTCCAGGCAAATGTTCTGTAGGTCCTCAAATCAGGCCAATACTGCATCATTTTTAATTTATTATTTATCAACCATCTTATAATTGTGCAGATGGGATTTCGGGTTCACATGATACTGGGTATTAAAATTACGGTCTTCTGTGAGGTTACAAGATGTAGCTTGGCCGACCATAATCTTGACTTTCATTGGTGCTATACAGTCTGGGCTGCTGACAGCATCTTTTTTCATTGGTTATTTAATGACACTTTCAGTACTGAGTCTACAAAAGTCAAATGATAAAATGGGAGATAAATAATGAAATAGAAAGAATTTACAAGCGACAGTACCAAATCAGGTACTATCCTGGTATTTGCCTGGAGGAACTGAAAGAGCCATGAAAAACATCAGTTAGGATAAACTGTGCTCCAGACACGATTCAAGCCAAACACCTCCACACATATACAAGCCTTGAGCATTACCTCTAGAGCAGCCACTGAAAATGCTGTTAAATAAGCAATAAATAATACTATATTGTAGCATCCTGTTGCGCATCATTTATTATTCAACAGATGTCACTGATTCACCATCTTACATGTAACGCATCATTCTAAAACTTATTTAAACGTTTCTGTACATTGCATTACATGTTTTGACTGACACTGATCATCATCAGGTGTTTAAAATTGTTGGTGAAAACTTGGAGCGTAGACTGTACTACATATCAAATGCTGTGCGTTGTGTGTCCCATGGTGCTCAGTGGGTCTTCCTGTTGTGTTGTCCTAGACTCCTGGTCTAGACACATAACAGGAAAAGCCACCCAGCATCATGGAATACATGAGGACATAGGCACAACTACACATCAAATATCAGAACCACAAAAATGGAAGCATAGCAGTTTTCACAAACAATTTTAAACACCCGATTATGACCAGTGTCAGTCAAAACATGTAGTGCAATGTACATAAGCTTCTATATGTTTTAATAAGACACAATTTGCAATATAAAGGTAATGCTATCCCTGTGACAGGCTGCGAAGGCCCATAAGGTTGTGAGAGATCGAGGCTCCCATATTTTCTAGACAATCGGCTCATAGGTGGCAGTAAGGTTGTCCCTTACACACTGGCCGCCCTTTACTCCCAAGAATATTCCTGGTACTCATTTCTGTTAGACACTGAGCCGACCCCAGGACCATAGTGCGGCTGGAAGGATTAGGTGAATTGGAAAGGATCCACCTCATTGGGACTTGAACCTGTGACCTTCCAGTTTGTAGCATAGTGCCTCAACCAACTACGCTACTGCGTACACCCCAATTTGTGATATATGAAACTTTTAAATAAGTTTTAGAAGGACGCATTGCATGTAAGACTGTGAATCAGTGACATTTGTTGAATAATAAACAATAAATAAATAAGCCAATAAATAAATAAATACAGCATCAACATGAGTGGATATGTTTCACAAATGTGTTCGCATGTGTGTAGCAAGATTTCCACGCTGTGAAAATCCTTTATTGCACAGTTCGCATTTGAAAGGCCTTTCTCCTGTGTGAATGCGTTTATGCACTTCAAGATTCCCACTGCGCGTAAACTGCTTATTGCACACATTGCATATATAAAACTTGTCCTTCCTGTGAACACGCATATGTCTTGAGAAATCACAGCATCTTGAGAAAGTTTTCTCACACTGTCTGCATTTATATGGTTTCTCACCTGAATGTGTTTGTCTATGTATAGTTAAATACTTAAATCGGGTGAAGACTTTGCTACAGATGTCACATTTGTAGGGATCCTCTCCAGTATGGGAAGTCATGTGCCTTGCGAGTTGTCCGTTCTGTATGAACACAACATTACACACTATACACCTGTATCCTTTCTCTTCCTCAGTATGAGTCCTTATGTGTGTTGCGAGATTGCCGCTCTGTGAGAATCCTTTGTTACAGACATCACACTGGAATGGTTTTTCTCCTGAATGAATGCGTACATGTCTGGTGAGATCTCCACTCTGAGGAAAGCCTTTGTTACATACTTTACACCTGAATGGTTTCTCACCAGTATGTGTTCGAAAATGCCTTATAAGAAGTTTTCTCTTTGAAAATAGACTGTTGCATACTTCACACTTGAAATGTTTCACATTTACTTTTTTACGTCTATTGCTGGTAGCAACATGAATCAATGTATATACATTCTTCTCAATATAACTACCACCATCACTGATTTTTTTATTTTTATTTTCAAGACACACATCAAATTCAGTGCCTCTGTCCATATAATCATCTTCTTCGACAGTGTGCTCCATGCTGCAACAAAGAAATAAAACTCAGTACTACTTGAAACGACATGTATATCAAACATGGTCCATCTCACTTTGGTTAAGAAACATATCTTGGAAATAAGCTCTGTTCCTGTTACCTCTGGTCCAAAAACAGAGATTAACTGCATCTAATGGATGCCACAGACTTCGTTTCATGCTCCTACTTGATGAAAACCGAGCCAGCTTCTGACATCTTGCATTTCTTAAAGGTCGAGGTATCAAGATTAGCTATACATCATGGGACAAGTGGATGGCAGTGAATAATAAGTTGGAAAGTACTTCAAAGGAGTTGGGTACAGCTTAGTCAGGGCACTAACTGGCATGTGCTTGGAGGGACTGACAGGAACCCTCAGCCAGAACAGCAGATGTCACAGATGAGATTCAATCTGAGGCCCCCTTGAATACAAGACCAGAGCACTACCCCTAGATCAATCTCTTCAGCGACTATCCAGTCTGCACTGAACTACTTTCTGGGGTACCTCAAACTCATTTTCTGGCAGCATGACACGCAATATTCATCATATTATTTCATGTACAGTGTTAAAAGTATCACAAAATAAAGCACAGAAGATTTTATGCTTTCACTCTGTTACACTATGTTCTGAACTTAATGAATCCACGTAAGGGTTCACTTCTGATGACTCCAAAATATTTTTTTACACTATTCTTTCCCCTTTCTTGAAGGATATTTTTGTTGTTGCCTGTTTATGTGTGTGATAACAGCAACTTTCCCTCAGGTTTTGAGTTCCTGTCACCTTTGTTACATTCTCTCAGCCTTTATAAAAGAAACATTTCTAATTTATCTTCTTTGTAAAGAACTGTAACAGGGATACACATTTCTCCAGATTATCAATCCTGATCTGCTTAAGTTTTATACAATTGTATTTACTTTTCTCATAACCATTTATGTGAGTAACATACACTACATAAACATGTACAATATACTTTTAAGTGTGATGGATAGTTAATGACATGGCAACCAAAATGACCAGATATAGCAGTCCCTAATTTAACCAAGTAAAGTTTGTATTTGTGCTTAATTAAGCTCAATGCCATGAAGACTTCTTGGGGAGTGGTGATATAGCTCCACACATTCTTAATCTTGGCACTAATATTATGGTGAGTGCCCAGTTTCACTCGCTGGCTGCTTTACTCCCAAGGAAAGACCAAGACCAGCCCCCCCCCCTACCCACTGGATAGGAGGCTGAGTGGGGCCCAGAGCCCATCTGGCTGCTGTGGAGAAGAGAAAAATCTCTTACCCCTGCCAGGAATTGAACTAAAATTCCTGTCACCCAGCCCATAGCCTAGTCACTACACTAACTGAATTCTTCCAAATCATCTGGAATTTAATACACTGGCTACAGTAGCGTAGTTGGTTGAGGCACTATGCTACAAGCCAGAAGGTCACAGGGTTGAATCCCGATAAGGTCATTGGATTTTTTTTTCAATTGACCTAATCCTTTGAGCTGCACTATGGCCCTTAGGTCAACTCAGGCTCTAACAGAAATGAGTACCAGGAATATTCTTGGGGGTAAAGGGCGCCTGGCGTGTAAGGCTGACAACCTCACCACCATCTGTGAGCCAACTGTCTAGAAAATGTGGGAACCTCAACATCTCACAACCCTACAGGCCTCCACGGCCTGTTACAGGGATAGC